TTTACCAGATACGCTCTCCTCGGTGATGATATCGTCATCGCGGATGCGCGTGTTGCGGATAAGTATGTAGAGATTATCAATGCTCTTCAGGAGAGCAAAGTGAGTCTCCCGTAGGGCGCGAAAACAAAACCTTCCTTCATAAACTGCTCTACCGTAGTTCTTAGCGACCCCAATTTAGGTTTATTTAATAGTACATCCCTATAGACAAGGGGACTCTTCTCTTCGGCCTAAATCGAGATGGTGCAATACGAATGACTACTTGTAAAGTACCTTGGACTCCGCTATGGTATAACGATCTGTTACCTAGGTGGGGTCCTTTCAAAGAGATGGATGGAATTGATTCATACTATCCGGAAGTCAAGAAGTAAGAATGGTCTGATGGACATTCAAATTTACCTTGAAAAAGCATATGACAGGGTGAGTTGGGATTTTCTTCAGGAGACTCTGATAGCTTTTTGGTTTCCTGAACCATGGATAAATTTGATCATGTTCTGCGTCAGAACATCTATGCTATCTATTCTTTGGAATGGTGAGAGCACTGATGGTTTTAAACCGGGAAGAGGTTGAAATATGCTCAAATATGAGGGTAGATCTAGGTGAGTCAGGGCCTAAGATCAGGCCGAAAGGGAGAGGCTCGATATAATTGACCTTGTTAGGGAACCAAGACAAGAATTCTGACGTCAGCTATGGGGGCTTTTCCTTCCTTCCTAAATCATTCAAAAGAGCAGGTGAATGGTTAAGTTAAAGGGACCCATTCCATTTTTTTCTGGATTAGAGCTACTTGGTTGATGCTGTGCTCTTTCGACTTCAAGTGAGAGCGTCAGCGCTTCTTTCTTTTCTTCGCTGCTACGCGACTCAGCTCTCCTTCATTATATCCGTTTTTCCTCTTCTATCTCCAGTAAAGGACAGATCAAAGAGAAGATGAGATAAAAGCAATGAAACTTCAGCAATTCGTATTCTTATTCCGGGAGCAGAAGTCACTTCCAGGCTAGCGATTTCAGCCAAATAGTGCTGCTTTATGGGATAAAAGAGAGGTAGTTTAAGTCACCCCTTCGCTTTTTAGTACTGGTAGGATTGGTCTACCAGCTCCACTCATACAAGTCAATCGAGTTCCAGTCGAGATAGAAAGTACTGGCTCACCGGCGATCATACCATTGAATAGGTTTCCCATGACCCAACGAACTTTTCGAAGCGAAGTGAAGTAAGAAGTATTGGCGAAGTTCAGTCACACATCGATGAGCTTAAGTAAGCGGACTACTAGCCACCATATCCGCCAATCGGGCTACGAGGAAGTACGTCCAGAATCCACTGGGTCAACGAGCTTCCTTCTCTCAAAACAAAGCCTGACCTAAACCCTTAGGATAAATTAGTATACCCGATCTAATGAGAAAAGGTTCGAAAGGCGCCGTGCGTTCTGTCCTTGCAAGGAAAATATGGATGAAAGGAGAGGAGAGCAAAGCGAGACTCTACAAACTTTTCGAAGCAGCAAGAAAACTACTGCGCGTTAGCGCAACGGCTTTCGCGCGTCTTGCTCAATCCCTTGCTTGTTCAGTCGAGCCTCAATGTAACCTTCCCTCGGATTTCAGTCGAGACTCACTTTGCTCTCCTCATACGGCTCCTCTAGGGATGGAGGTAGGCCCCAGCCCAGGCTTGTGCGGTTAAGGTTGTTGTACATACAGGCTATGTGCCAGAGTGCTCATCGAGATTCTCTCTCCTTCTGAAGACTTTGTCTAGAAAAGAACTAAAGGCTTGGGATTCGACTCCGCGCCGCTTTAGGTCTTCTAGAAGGTCATAGAGTCTCTCCAAGGACTGCTTGCTCTCCCGTGGCAGTCCGGGGATTATCGAGAGCGCGAGCCCCTCGCCGCTCCCAATCCCCCTCCGGGTCAAGGACCCCCATGAGCCTGATAATATCGACCTTGACCTCGAATAGGTCTTCGGCCTGCATTTTTGTCATTTCTATCGCTTCGTAAGAGGGAGAGGGGTATTGGGCCAAGAGTCTCTGCTGGATCGACAGAACAGAATCTCCCCCGATCACTTCCTCCGGTTCATACGGATAGGGGACTACGGGAGGGGTCCTATTAGATGGACCCGCTTCCTCCCCCCCGGGAGCGACCGGATTCGCGCGATGGAAAGGTCGCCCCTCCGGCTGATTGACCGACTCAATTACATCGACCCTCTGTTTCGGTTTCATAATTTGACTCCCCCAGGACCCTCGTCCACGATTCCGAGCCGGTTACACCCTCAGATGGAACCATTTGGTTCCCGAAAGTCGGGCTCTCCGAATCACAAAAGTAAGATAGTGCCACCAAAAAAGAATCACACGACATAAAATATTTTAGATAAAAAAAAGATAGAAGCAAGTGGAAGCTCCTCTTAAGGATTCGCAGACTTCACTTCGCTTCGTTCGTTCCCTCTCCTACCAACATATAATAGTGAATTTGACTTCGTTCCTTCAGTTAGATAGGTTCCGTTTTCTAGGCTAGCGAGAGCTTGACTAATAGAATAAAAAGGAAAGGGGCCTAGAAGTGGAGTGAGTCTCTTCCTTGAGTCTCAAACCCAGCTAATAGCTTGAGCCTAGAAAACAGTCACTAGATAAGATCTGTTCTAACGTAGAGACATGAGACAGAGAGGGTCTGACGTTAAGATCAAAGGATGGATTGACGTCAACGCAGGTTTGTTCCCTTGTATAGTAGAGGTTTCGCGAATCATAGAAAAGAAAGAAGAAAGAAAAGTGGAGGAAATGTAAGAGAGGACTTTCAGTTATTGATAGATGCTTTCTATCCACTCAAAAAAGGGCAATTTCAAATTGTCGTAAATGACTGTCGAAAATATTGGCTAGAAAAAAGAGTCTCCCGATCTGGTCAATTATATCGAACCTTCCCGGCTACAGAATCCGCAGTTTTGAAAGTAGCCCTAGACAGATCATTGCTAAAAGCATTCCCTGCCTTTCTTGCCCGATTCTGAATAACTGGGTGGCCGCCAGATGGGCAGTGGGTCTTGGGGTTCTCTGCTCACTTGGGTATCTGCTCGTCAACTCGTTCGACCGGTCATTCCTGCCATGGAACAAGAATCAGTCCAAGATCTCACCCCACTCCCACTTACATCAATATCTGATCTATCCGCTCATGCAAGCATTAATAAGAGGATGTTTATTCGTAACTGAGCTACGTCAGAGTTCCTCGGATTTTAGTCGAGGTCAACTTTGTCGAGCCTTTCCTTCAAACAAGCAACGGATTATTGAGCAAGACGCGCGAAAGCCGTTGCGCTAACGCGCATCCGTTTTCTTGCTGCTTCGCTTCCTCAACTTTGTCGAACCTGTCCCCCTGTACATGAAGCCTGGGAGCACCCGCTGGGAAGGTGCCTGGCAGGAGATAAAAAAGAAAAGGTTATAAGCCGAGTAGACTTAGCTGCAGAACTAGCTCTTTCATTCGCCGAATCAATAGAAGAATAGCCCTCTGACCACGCATAGCGTAAGCATCTCTTTCCTTCCCTTTCGGCTTCTGTGTAGCTCAAAAGCAACCTTAACTTGATTCCAAGGATGGGATTCAGGGATTGAGTCCTTTTCTTTTTGATCTGCTACTCAACAAACGAAGCGAAGCGAAGTTCAGTTTAGCTCCTTGAGCCCATTAGCTCGTTTGGAAGGGTATTCGTTCTTGAATCAGTGACTGAGAATAAGGGCTCGTGTCAAATAAGACTAGTGGGGCATCTTGCTTTTCTTGCAGTTCGCGATCGCCTCGATAGCTTCACCCCTGCCATATGTAAATAGATTGGTATCCATAAAAAGCCCAAAAGAAAAGGCCTTCGTTTTTTCCTTCCGGATAGATTTACATTTACCTATCCGTTATTCCTTTTCCATCCAGTAGGAATCGTTCATCTGGTCGTACTTCATTCAAAGTCCCCGAGCCTTCTTAGTGGAGGTACATAGGTGGCTTCCTCTCTCCCGATCAGGGGATTTCACATGGTTCGAATCCATGGCGGTGGGATAAATGAGCAAGCAAAGAGGCTTCAGCTTCTGTTTGGAAAGGCAGTTTAACCAAGCGTGGTCGGAATAGCATTGAATGAGAAAGCCTAGTTCCAACGAAAGTAGAGCAGCAGGGCTAGAAAATAATGGCATTTAAGCAAACCAATGGGTTGTTCGAATCACATGTCAGAACGATCAATAGGGATGGATACAGGGGTAACGTAAGGAGCATAATCATAATAAAGTAGAGTTTGCTCAGGTATAGGTTATGATATAGGGTTTCTCGGTTCTGATGGATCCGGGAAGCTGGTTGGGTTGAATATCCTAGGACTAAAGGGCGAGCCAACCTTCCACTTTCCTGGTCCACCAGCAAAGACAGCAGATAACAGAAGCCCCTCCCTTCCGCAGTAGTAGTCTCAATCTTTTTCTTATTAATAAGACCGTCGAATCGTAGGAGAAAGCAGATCCTTATGCCCAATACCAGAGTCTAATATCATATTGAACTGGCATCAATGCCGATCGATTCTTCAACTTACCATGACCATGGAATCTCATCTAATCCAACACCTGTATCTTGCTCCGGAACGAGATCCTGAGTGAAGATTGATTGCTTTTGACGCTTGCTTTCCCAACGAACGAAGCGAAGTGAAGTCATAGAATCAGAGTGAAGAGAGGCTTATTCTGTAATCAAAAGATTACCTAAAAACATCCGCAGATCTTATTCTCGTCATCCCCTTTCATCATCTAAATTACATCTATCCAGCAAGAAAACGGATGCGCGTTAGCGCAACGGCTTTCGCGCGTCTTGCTCAATCCCTTGCTTGTTTGAAGTCATAGAAAGAGATATCTTGTACGTAGTTAAGGTTTTGCTTTGTTTGGTGTTGATTCTAGACTATACTGGAAATCACCTTATGACAGCCCTAGCAACAGCAGAGCTAACCTACCTTCCGGAGGTAAGTGTCAAGTTGTTGAATATGAAGGGCTTAGAATGTTATGCTTCCACTGTGGGAAATTTGGACATGATGATCTTAATGCCCAGTTATAAAAAAGGGTGGCAGAGGGACCGACGAAGGAGGTCGGCTATGAGGCTTTCTGAGTTTGAAAAGATTTCAAAAGAAAAGAGAGTATGAGAACACGAAGTAAGGGCCATGGATGATTGCTCAGCGCCGTAAACCTACCTAGGAGAATAGTCAAAGTAAATGTCAAATGGAAAGGATAAGCGCCAAGAATCAGTAGCCAAGACCCGCACCAGACGTTCCTGAACTCTCGAGATACCCTTCCTTTTATTACACCAGGTGAAAGCAGGTCCCTGAAATCCCAGATCATCCAACTGACAAGCCTCAATCATGTTCTTGAAGCGCATACACCTGTAAATAGCAACATTTTCGCCCCCATTTGATTAAGAAAGATAATTCGAAATCAACTCAATTAAAGTGGTCTTCCTAGTTGGGATTCCGCAGGGAGTAGCTTTTCCTACTAGCATTCTCGTTGTCTTGTCATCTATTCATGAGAAAGAAAAAGGTATCACCGAGGAGTCCTCTCTCACGGAGCAGTTAACACGTGACGTGCTAAGGCGCCATCTTTCTGTTATCATGTGGTTTGGTACATTTTTTGAGTTTAGCCCTTTGCTTGTACGAAGAAGAGTCGTTACCGGATATGGACCGAACTGTCTCACGACGTTCTGAGGTCTCAGCTAGGATGGCGAATAAGGGAACCAAGGTTTACGGCATGGACTACCATGGTATCTAATTTGGGAGGTGAAAGAGCTGATACAGTCCAAGAAAGGCATTACGTTTGCTTCATATTGATTTGGGACTGGACCCAACCCCATAGGTTTCATAGATATTAATTAAGCCCTAATTCAGTTTCGAATATCGTACAAGAAGAAAAGTAAAGAGCAAGCAAGACGCGGGTGAATCTCGTAGGACATTTCTATTTATTTGTTATAGAGGGTCGATGTAATTGAGGGATAGTGGAAGGCGCTGGGCTTCGCGCGATTAATTGTTTTCGCTTTCTGTCGAGCAAGAGATTGACTTCTTTGTTAGTCAAAGGGAACTCAATAACTCATATGAAAAGATGGGGGTGGAGTTTCACCATATGATTGAAAGAGCGGCTTCGGCACCAGGAGCTACAGTAGCTGCAGGAAAGGGAGAGCGCTTCTCCTTTTGTTCCCCAATCGCGGTAGTGGCTGTTGTTAGCTCTAGATATGAGTGACGCGGTACACTAACAGATTCTGGAAATAGAAAATTGAAGTATGGACCGAAAACTGGATATTTTAACTGCCCCTTCCTCTCGTGAGGAGCTAAATGTACGATTTCTACCTTTGATAAAAGATCTGAAGAAAGGTTCGATGTAATTGACCTTAGGGCTTTCTCTTCACCAGCCTATTAAGTCTTCAATCCAGCTCATCCACTTGCCCTCGCTAGATAGAAGCTTCGGCTCGGATTAACAACGCTATCTTCCGCGCTCTATCTGTTCTGGAAGATCGGCGTAAACCTTTCATGCATATAGAAGTAAGATGTCTTCACCAATGCGGATAAGCATCGAATGTTGGCTCGATGTAATTGACCTGTTTTTACTTTTCGAAATGGATTCATGATCTGAGAGCTGGACAAGCATCTTAAACAAGAGGAGAAAGAGAAGACAGCCAAAGCTATAGCGTCAACCTCTACTATCGCTACCTTGGACCGTTTGCTGGCCTGATCTCTTACACGCGTGTTAACTCATATGAATATGCCGTTGGGAAAGCAATACCTGGTCTTGCTGCTTCCTAGAATAACGATCTATGATTTATTTACTTATGTGATTGTTCTTATGGGATTGAGGAAAGCCAGCTCATTTCCCGGTGGTGTTAGAATACCTTCCATCCAATCCAGTCCAGTCATCAAGCGAGGAAGTATGATTTCACAGCTCATCTCCTGACCTTCTCGATCTTACCCGTGTACTAGAGCCTGTGGACTAGTCCTATCATAACAAAGCAGGAAAGCTACACGCGTGAGGAGCTCATATTCATAATATGCTCTTTCTTTCCTTGGGGAGTTTCTCCTAATGGCGAGAGGAAAGAGTTCACCCTCAAGATCTTTCTCCCTCGCGCGTAAATATCTAATAAATATCTAAATATGGTGGGGTGTCCGGGCACTGCAGTAAAGCAAGCGCTAATAGGAGCAGGATTTCGACCTACTAGATATCTATTT